GCATACAAAATTAATTGCCAGTTTCTGTACCAGTCGCTACATCCACCCACCGACATTCTAACTTATGATTGCAATTAAACTGAAATTATGCACTTATTTATAATGTAACATTGTGTTATGTGACAATCTCAGGCGGAAGTTATGTTTACTATAATATACACACAACACAATTCGCACTAGCCTCAACATCTGGCATTGCTTTCGAATTTATAGTTTTTAATTTTCAATGAGAGAGGGTCCCTGTTAATTAAAACTAGGAGTGAATTGTTTATGAGCTTCTAACATAGGCCACCAGTAATACACAGCGCTAGCTCACATCTCTAATTTACAAACAAAAGACTGAAAAATGTGTTGCATTTTTTTAACTAATATTCTACACATTTTTGCTAATTTTTGTTTAAAAATTGTAAATTAAGTAAAACAAATAAACATCTTTCTGGTTGTGGCTTTTGTTTTGCAAATGCATAGTTGGTTGCTGGTTGCTTACTAACAAATAATGATGCATTGACGATTTATTTTTAAAAGTAGTAAATTATAATAAATGTTTGTAAATTTCGTTGTTTTGCTCAATCTGATTAATGTCTGTTCGCATGTGTACCTTTATGTTCATTTGCGTTATGCTGCGCCTTGTTTGCGTTACCTCCAAAATTAAACAGCAAAATTAATCAAAGTAAGTATTAACTTCAGAAGGCAGTGCGCTATATTGTGTACACTACCAAAACGTGCCAAGTATATAATAGTTGGAATTTACCATTAATTCCAGCGTTCGGATAAAACTTGTCCAAGTTTTATTGTTTTCTCCGCTATAAAATTGTAGTGAGATTAATGAACGAACGCCGTCTAGGATTTTTTCCGGGTAGATTTATTAAAACCTCCCTAATTCGGCGTAATACAGGTAGCAGTTGGCGGCGGCGGCAGCGGTGGCTTAATTAAATCCGCCGAATGTCGAGGAAGAAAAAATCATTTATTCACAATTTGCTGAATGTCTTGTGAACAGCATGGAGTTGGGCTGTTTTAATGCATAGTTAAGTAGAAACGGATGCCGACTGTTTTCTCAAAAGACCAATATGAACACGGAAATATATACATCCTACTTTAAATTTTAGACCGCTCATATATTCAAACGCAATATGCGCCACTGTCTCTCGATCTAAAAGCTCCAAACTGCATGCGGGACGTATTTTTATTATTACGCTCATCTAAGTTTTTATGACAGACTTTTACAAATATTACCTTGTGGATAAATTGGTTGTCAACTTTGAAAGCATTTATCTACTCGACTTTTATATTCGCTTTAAAGTAAATGTCTCCCAGAAAAGTATCAAAATTCTACAGTAATTTTGAAAGTACCTACATATTCTTTTATTAAAGTGTTCAAAACTCATTGATTAAGTTATACAGGACGCTCAAAAATATATAAGTTTGAAGAAGCTTAACTTGCGCTCATTTGATAGTTTTGCTTTCCAAGAGAAAAAGTAAGTAATTTAAAAAAACACATACAAAAATAATAAAATAAATTAAAATTTACAAAATTACAAGAACTTAAGAACTGTTGAAAACAGAAAACAAATATCTGTTATTGCCCCATTATAGCTATTTATGTATCAAGTACGCAAAACAGGGTCGTGGTGCATACAAGATTTTTTTTGTTAAAGCTCCCAAAACACGAATCGCCACCATAGTAACCAATTTAATTTTTTAGTCCGCAAAAACTGTTTAGTACCTAAAATAATGGTTATTTTTTGCGTACAATTTTATCGAGTACGGAAAAAACTCATTTTGGGGACTCAAATGAGTCACAAAATAGCTATCTTTGGGAACTAATACAAAAAAAAAACTTTTTTTTATATAAAAATCTGTACTTTTCTTCTTTTAGGAACAAAAAATTAGTGTATAAAAATTTACCTTTTTTCTTAAATTTTTTGTACATTTTGAACTTGATTCTGAAAGAAGTTTTCTCCCAAAATGCCGATTTTTATAATTTCAATGAAACAATACTAATTTTTTTCTTTTTCTTAAAAAAATTATTTTGTGTATACGCTTCCAAAAACAGCTGTTTTAGGGACTCCTTTGAGTCTTTTCCGGACTCAGTAAAATAGTAAGCAAAATGGTTATTTTAAGTACTCAGTCCCCAAAAACAGTTTTTCCGAACTAAAAAATAAAATTGGTTTTTATGGTGTCAATTTTTTTTATTAATAAGAGGTGCAAATTCGTGTTTTGGGAGCTTTAACAAAAAAATTTTGTTTGTAACACTCAAATGAGTCTCTAATAAAACATCTGTTTTCGGGAGAGTATACAAGAATTAAATGATTAGTAATAGTATTAGTAAAATGTATTATTTATAAAAGAAATTATAAAAATGAGTGCAAAAACAAATGAAACAAGTTTCGAGAAGAAAAATCTATGGCACAAGCGAAGCGAGTGCGCAAATTCTTCGACTAAAAAAGATACTTTACTAACAAGTTGCATTCAAAAATGTTTAACGTCCATAATAAAAATCAACAACTATCTATTTAAAAAACAGCTGTTTATTTCGAAATATTAATAATAAATGGAGAGTTAACTAATACATAAAAAACTTGAGTAAGAACTAAATTGCGTTTTAAGTTCTGACAAATGTCAAGTATCATAGCAAAAGCAACTTTCTATGTTTTGTGTAAATATATTGCTTTAAAAAATGACACCTTGCGACACTTTTTGTTGTTCAAATGCGTGAAAAAATAAATATTTAAGACGGTAATTTTTATTAAACATCATTATACTACAAATTAGACAAAATAACGTGCACAACTCTTATGTATACCATATTTTATGTACTTATTTTATAGGACACGTTGTGATTATCGACGAATTTTATAGAAAAGTGTATATAAACGGCAACAAAAGAGGTAAGCCTAAATGCACCATAGAAACAGTGGAAAATATTAGTTATTAGTGTTGAAAAAAAGTCTAACTAACAAAAAATCGTTTTTTTGGGTTAATCTCCAGAATGAATAAATATTTTTAAAAACGGTAAACGCCAAATCGTTTCAATTGACTAGATCTTCTCAAATTGCCTACTTCGCATCAAAAATTTCTTTCCTTTCACGTAGATATCAAACGTATCTTTTTAATTAAAAGTCAATTTTTTTCTGAAGTGGGCAATTTGAATAGACATTTTTTTTGCGTTTTCATATGGTCCAAGTGCTATTTGTCTACGTATTATGGCCCTCAAGATTAACTCGATGAAGTGTTGGAAACGAAGAAATTTTACGATTGTTTATGTCAGTTGTATGTTTATGTACATTTATAAAATTTGGTAAATGATTAGTAAAAAGTATCAACATTAACATATAAAAAAATCAAAGTCGCATCTTTTAAAATTTGTTAGATATCTTTAGTTAAATTTGAGCAAAAGCAGCACTTTTTCGCAAAATGCCATCTTGTGTAGCAAATATTTTAGATAGACGTCCGGAGCGACATATTTCTGCTCCAGTGCGGGTCTATTAAATCTGGTAAAAGTGAAGATATATAAACTAATTAGAAGTTAATTTTATTTATATTCTAACAAAAAAATGTGGAACGCTTCACGATTTTGCGTGTCATCCTTGCGCAGGGGCCATGCTAATCTTCTCTGTATCGTTCCAATTTTAGTATATGTACCGCCGAAGCGAGTACACTTGTATCTCTTTTTAATCCATATATATGCTTAACAACGGTAGACTCGCGTTAGTGAGATGTAAGATAACATGTAGAAATACAATATTTTTATTAAACTTAGTTTTTTGTCACAACAATAATAAATTACACGTTATAAGTTTCTAAAAAAAATATATTACTGTTTTGCAAGTTTTTAGGTTGGGTATTGAAATATGTATAGCAAATAAGAGAATGAGTTTCAACGGTTCCGTAGTGTAGCGGTTATCACGTCTGCTTTACACGCAGAAGGTCCTCAGTTCGATCCTGGGCGGAACCACTCTTTTTTTATTTTAAGTTACTTTTTTGATATTTAAGTGAATCCAAGGAGGTTAGATGGACACGAGGGAGCATCAATTCAAATAAATAAATTCGGCGTTTTACGCATGACCCAGCTCAGTCAACCAGTGGCGTATCAAAATATTTAAGAAAGAGGTTAAAATAAGAAACATTAAAAATATATTTATTGATCTTTAAAATGAACAATTTTTTGTAACTATTTCTGACATACTCATTGCTTGTAGACATCTTTTTATAAGTATGTTTTATTCGTATATTAAAACAAACAATCAATTACAGCTTTAATTAAATAGGTATGCTTGTCACAACTTATTTTAAAATAATTTTTTCCTACGAAATATTCTAGAACTTCAATAATAATTTTTTCTTTTTCCACACTAATTTGATTAATTTTTTGGTGATATCTGTAAACAAATTCACTTTTTTTACAGATTGCAATTAACTCATTACTCCATTACTCGGGTAACTCCATACTAAATTTTCTTTCAGTACAAAAAGTGCAGAAATGCAATTTTCACATTTTAAACTTCTTCCTAATTTGAAAGCTACCAAACCTGCTATGTAAACTAAGATTTGATTGAAAAAATTAATTTGTGTTATAAAAAAATTATGTTCGGTTATAAGGTTACTTTCCAAATCATTTTCATTTTCTAAATAAAAAGAATAATACTTGTCGTAGACTAAAGTGTCACAATTAATTACACAATAATTAATACACTTAATACTACTGAAACACCATCACTAAACTAAAACTAATAATTTAATAAAAAGTTTACAAAATTTAAAACAACAACGACACTTTACAATCACAAATAAACAACCACGGGCAACATCACCTCAATTTCACGAAACTTACCCCCGCCTCTGTGTTGTGGCCGCTTTTTCTTGAATAGGTAAGTGGCGCGCAATTCAAATGGGGTCATAAAAGGATACTAACGAGTGAACAAAAGCTCACAACATTTTAACGTTGAGAGTATAGGCCACCCTCCCTCCTGGCCATCTAACCATCTTGAATAAAACAAATATTGTTTTTATACATATTTATTATATATATTTATGACTACAATTTTAATATAAAAATCAGACATGCATATGTACTGACTATACATACATATTCCCTATCATAAAATTAGTGTTGCTGAAATTTCTTCGTATCATTAGTAAGTTAATAAAGTACACTATAAAAGCGGCTGAAAAATCCCTGATACTATGGTGAGTGTTGTATTCTAAATAAAAAATGTGCACAAATGTTAAATTCAAATTTAAGTACAAAGTACACAACGAAATTTTCATATTTCAATGATAGGATTTGTTATATTTCACATAAATAAAGGTAAATCTTAAAAATATATACAGTATTCATTAGTGTTTCAATGTCATAACAATTATACATACTATGACATAAAACTGTGCTTAAATAATTTCATATAATCAAAATATATAACTTAAAACTAACTGGTATATAATCTGGCACATGGTGTGTGTTGACTTAAAACAGCCAAAATTCCCTAACTCAAACTGCAAATTTGATTCTTCTAAAGGCCAGCGTGGGGCTGCTCGGAGCACTCGTCCGAACCCATCGACATGTCCGCTATTATCCCACTCTCTGTGAAAAAAAAAAAAACATTATTACGAATCTTGTGCAATGTATACAATACAGGGAATGTGTCAGAACTCGCGCCCCAGAGAAAAATTTCAAGTAAGATAATTTTATCTTACTGGTTCCTGGTATTTACCAGGAACATGAAAAAAATGTTTAAAAAATTCTATCTGTCAAACAGTTTTGACAGATATTTTTTGACATTTGACATTTTTTATGTCTATTTAATAATACTGATAATCTTGTGTATGTTTTTCATAATTATTTTTATAAAAAAAAAAAAAAAAAAAAAACATTGCCAACGAAAGCCACAAATAATTTCGACAGAAATAAATAGAGTCAAAGTGCAAAATTGAAACAGTCATAAGTTCGAAATTTTTAATAGATAGACACTTTTTCCATGTTCCCTGTATCTTACCATATATTTTTCTCTGGGGTGCGAGTTCTGGCGTACCTGTATGCAGGCTCTGATTCTGATTGAATAATCATACATTTGTTAAATTTGCATAACTGAATTTATTTTAAAAAATGTAAAAGGCTTCAATACAACTTTTTATTTTAATTTTTAAATTTTGTCTCTTCTATCATCTTTATTATAAATAATCCAAAAGTAAAATTTTGCACATTTGCAAAGATGCCCTTACACTATCGTTTGATCCAATCTCTGTTTGTCTTTATTATACAGGAAGTTTAATAAAAGTCATCAAATTGTGCAATTTTCAAAAAGTCATGATTTTGAACACCCAGTATATGTTTACTTCGTCGTATTCTACTATTAATTGATTTCTTTTGAATACACATCCTGTATACTTCTTATATAGTTTTTATTCATAATATACTCGTAACTATACTATTTATTCCGGAGTCGGGAAGTAGGTCACTATAAGCAAAAGATTGTGAAAATGTGAGTTTTTAGCTCAAAAATGTGCTTAAACGCTCAAACAAAGTAAAAAATAACTTCTTTTTTCACCTAAATAAGTGTTTCTTCGATAATTTTTAGTAAAATCGCACCAAAAAAACATTTTTAGGTCAAAATTATGCTTAGATGCGCGGAAAATATGTACAAAGATAATGCCACTTTTAACACAAATAAGCAACTTTTGTTTTTTTTTTTGAACACAAGCTCATCAAAAACTTAGGTTTATAGCTCGAAAACGCGCTTTTGAAAAAAATCTAGACAAAAGGGTGTGTTTTTAGCTCGAAAACCTTTTCAATGCTCGAAAAATACGAAAATAATGCAATTCTCGATTTATGAGTAATAAGTGGTCAATTTTTCGGTCGTTATTAAAATAACATCGTTTTCGACTTAAAAAAGTGTTTTTCAGTAGTTTTCAGCAAAATATTTCCAAATAAATAAAATTATAGGTCAAAACTGTGACCAGATGTACTAAAAATTCAAAAATAAGGGCGTTTTCGACAGAAATCAGTTGTTTTTCGGTAATTTTGAACAAAATCTCATCTAAAAGTTAGGTTTTTAGTCCAAAACCGCGCTTAAACGCTCAAAAAATACAAAATTTACATATTCCTCGAGTTAAACAAAAATTTTTTTGGTTATTTGGAGCAAATCTCGTTAAGAAAGTGGGTTTTTAGCTCAAAAACACCTGAGATGTTCGAAAAATATAAAAATAATGTCTTTTTCGACCTAAAGTGGTTTTTCGGTTATTTCGGAGAAAATCTTACACAAACTTTTAATTTTTTTGCCCAAAACTATGCACGCTTGAGAAAACCAAAAATAATGTCTTTTTCGATTTAAAATAAGTCTTTATTTCCGAGCAAAATCATGCTAAAAAAGTAGATTTTTAGTCCAAAAACGTGATCAAACGCAAAGGAAGAAAGAAAAAAGTACATATTACCAAGGTCCAAAATTTTTGTTAAAAAAAGTAAAATAATTACATAATTTAGAATAATTTTAGTCGAAGCAGATTTGCCAACAGTATACTGATACTGTTATATAAGATCCTGTACCTATTGTACAGTTGGAGACAAAATACTTTGGTCGTCACTTTTCTGACACTTTAATGTAATTCAAGCTTTAACATTAAAATGAATGACAATTTCAAATTAATGACAGCTATTATATTTTCCTATCAAAAATATGTACTGCCGGCAGAAGCTGTAATCAAATGAATATTCTTTTATTTGACTGAAATTTTACGTCATTTCAGGGATTGCCCACTTAATTCTCGTCAAACAAAGTAACCGGTTAAATCATTACATGTTACAGCGTTTGACGGAAGTGTATTTAGTCATTTGCTGAAGTCTTGAAATGTTTGATACTTTTTGTAGAAATATAAATTTTTGGTACAATTGGAGACAAAATACTTTAGTCGTCAAAGTCACTTGAGTGACATTAAATTGTAAAGTATGCTTTAGGACTGTTAACCTTATTTTTAGCTACTGTCAATCATAGTTGACAAGTTGTACATATTTTTGATAGAAAGATGTAATAGTCATTAATTTGAAATTGTCATTCATTAAAGCTTGAATTAAAGTGTCAGAAAAGCGACGACCAAAATATTTTGTCTCCAACTGTAGAAGAAAAGACAAGCCAAAAAAAAACAAAATATTTTTATTGTAGCAAAATATTTGTTTCGTTTATTTGGAATAAGGTATACACATAATATTATAAAATCATACAAATGATATTGCCTACCAGTAGTTTGTTTGGCAAGTAAAATATCTTTAGCAGCCTAATATGTAAAACTGAAATAAAGGTGTATGTTGAGGTTAGAAGTCTTTTACCTCCTTCATTTCTTCATAATTCCACGGTTTTTTGACATCTTTGTTCTTCAAATAATATTCATTTAATTTGTCATAAAACAAACTCTTATGATTATTCATTTTCAATAAGAAAAGTCCAACAATTACTAAATGTTACGGCCCGAAATTACTACACATTAAAATTTCAAGCTTTCAAATGACTAAATACACTTCCGTCAAACGCTGTAACATGTAATGGTTAAACGGGTTACTTTATTTGACGAGAATTAAGAGGGCAATCCCTGAAATGACGTAAAATTTCAGTCAAACAAAGGAATATTCATTTGATTCAGCTTCTGCCGGCATTACGGCCAATGACTAGGCTTTCCACGAAATGACGCATTACGCCCAATGACTACGACATATATAACAACTTGTCAACTATGATTAACAGTAGCTAAAAATAAGGTTAACAGACATCACGTGACATTGACGACCAAAGTATTTTGTCTCCAACTGTACCTGTACCTATAATAATATAGTGAAAAAATGTTACAAACCCGTGGAACATTGGCTATTGAGCGTGGCAGATCTATGATAGGGCTTGGGGCTATCGCAAGCCGATTCGAAGCTGAGATTCATCGAATTACTCTGTCCCCCGCTATTCGCCGAGCTGGTGCTCCCCGAGGACACGCTCGACGACATGGAGATGACCGAATGTGGCCGTTTGGCATTCCTGCAGGACTCGATCACCGGACCTACGATAGAATTTCTGAATCTCGGAGCGGCTAAAATCGGAAAACACTCGGTTACTTCTGGTCTCTAACGAGCGGTTAGGTTAATGGTACCATGCAAAAGGTCGGAGGGATTGTGCATGTAAGCGTTAAGGTCGCTGCAGCAGCGCAAGCAAGCGCATTCCATTAGTCGAATAGGGCTTGATGGGCAGGTTATTACAGGGGTGAGTGCTAAAATTAGTAGAGGGCGTGGTTAGAGGGGTTAGTAGGAGGGGCGATGGCTTACTTCTGGTGAGTTGGTCGACGCTGATTGAACGGTCGCTGATTTGATCGGCGCTGGGACGGATGTCGAGGCAGGGCTTGTTGCCGATGCCCATTGACGACATTTCCGCCATTCGCACAGCTGAAATTAAAACAAAACGTTATTAATTGCCGACGAACAAACGAGTCTTGTGGTTTTTCGATTACAATGATTACAGTTACAATGATTTTGCGTTCAATTCAAGCAAAATTTCGCAATAAAGTAACATAAAAATATGATTTTTGAAATAATTATAGTAAATCTTGTAAAACGAATAAGCTTTCAGAACAAAAAACGCGCTTAACGGTCGAAAATTGTAAAACAGTATATTAGTGAGAAAGTTGGACCTTTCCACGAAGATAAAATTTAGGATATGAGCCGAAGGCAAGTGGAGTGAGTAATTCATCTAAGTTTCACGAGTTTAATACTATACTTTTTCTAATCATAAAAAATGACTATAATGTTTTTTATGTTTGTTTATTATTATTATTATTTAATTTTCTCCAGAGTTAAAAACTAAATAACTACCTCAAGTGAAAACGGTGGGAAAAATTACAATTTTTTTATCATGATTAGAAAATTAACGATATTTTGACATGATTTCCACCGATTAGATTTTTTACCATATGACAATTGGTTTCATAAAAAATGGAACAAAGAAAGTAAGATAAACGTCACTTTGCCACTATTTTTTTTATAGAGTGATACGGAATTTAAATAGTGAGGTTAAAATATTATGACAATTTTTGTCATTGCAGTCAGCCTAATATTACATGATTTAAGTTAGCTTGTCCCGTTTTTTATGAAACCATTTGTACGTTAGGGTAAGTAAGAAATTAAAGTTTGGGAAATTGTATAAATATATCTATGGAAGAGATGCGAGAGACGCAAAAAGGTCGCGGACGAATCCATTCGTAAATATAGGGGAGTTCTGAAGTCAGCTGAGAGCAGTGACGTGTATTCACACTTATTTATTTGAACAAAACAAATAATAATCTACGTATAGTAATAAAAAATATTTTGATTTTGTTACTGTATTAATAAATAAATAACATTAAAATACAAGTATATTATCAAACCATAGGTTTTTTTTATCAGTACTTAACCGAGATTCGATCAGCCATAATTCATTAAACCTTAAATTTGACAAATGAGAAACTAGAGATTGTTTGAGTAGATAATGAAGAAATTTTCTTTAATATAATTTTAATTACAAGAGTAATTGATTGGTCACTAAGAATTTGCAATTCTACAATCCCCTTTTTACTGCAGAATAGTTCTATGTTACGCCACTGCTGAATTCCCCCCACTACACAGGGTACGCTTTGGCTCCGCCTATCGGTATCCTTTTACAAATTCAGGAGCTCTAATTTCTTCTTTTTCAATAGCAAAAGTAATGTTTTAAAAGCTCACAATATTTACAAAAAATGTCAACGACAACTTGGAAACTGATATTTTAGAACAGTTTTATTTGCAATTTTCTTGAAGAAAGATCGTTTATTCCATTCAACCTCCCCCTACCTCTATTTTTAATGGCCTGCTTCCATAACAGCTGCGACAACTCCTCAGTCCAAGCCTTTTTAACATCCTCTGACATCGCTTGTAACGTAAAAGTATCATTCGGTTTCCTTTTCCTGAACCAAATCTCAAATTTCGTCGAACTATCTCCAATTTTCGCCGTCAATCCAATATCAGTCATTTTGATACTATTTTTATAAATGTACAAATCGAGGTTCTAAAAATTAAAGTCAAAAAAAAGTTCTTTAAACGACAAAACTGTCTCACCTTACGATCCGGGAACCTTCGAGCCTTACTAAAAAGAATCAACTCTTCGAAAAGAAAAACCTGTCTTAGGGATTTTTTCCCATTGCGGCCTTCCCAAACCAGGAACTCGTTTTGGCGTAGAAGACTTCCTTGTTCTTTGAGATTCACCTGGAAATAAATCAAGTAGAAAATTGGGATTATTTTGAAACTGAGACTCACATCGCATTCTCTAATCGAATCCATGGCAAGCAAGTCGTTCCCATGCCGCAACTTGAACCTCACCATTTCTTCCGCTTGCTTCAAATCTTCCAGTTCTTGGAGCCGCTCCATGGTGGGCCCCACACAAGCCTTCATCATCTGTTGCAAAAGCAGGGCGTATTTGCCCATACGTTGCACCGGTTTGAGCAAGTAACTGGCCAAGTCCATCCGGTCTTTAAGCTCCAACTGTTTACTCTGGAAAAAAATAAAAAAAAAAATAAATAAAAAGTCCAGGAAAGTGGATGAACAAACCTTGAAGAATAGGGAGCCATATTCCGACATGAGCGAATCCGATTTTGGCTTATTCTTGTTGTACAGGGCGTACAAGTAGAATTTTTTGTCGTGTTTGAGGAAAATTTGGCCAACTTGTAAAGGATTGCTCTCGCATCCTTCCAGTTCGTGGAGGAAGTGTTGGCTATGGAATTCGTAGATTTTTTCCACGTTGCCAAAAATGATGTTGCGTTGGCCTCGCAGAGCTTGTGGAATGTCTTCGCGCATCAATTCTGGGATGTAATTGACGATTATGTAATCCAGTGATTTGACATAGTCGCGTTCAGTCTCAATCATTTCCTTAATGATAAAAGTTAACGTCCTGAAAAAAATGTTGATAGAATTTTCTCATGAATTAGCAATTTTGGAAAAAAAATTCGCGAATCAATAGACAACCAATAACGGAAATTTTTTTAAAAAGATTAAATTTTGTTTACTCTGTTTCAAGAAATACAGGAATTTTTCACATTCATTTTCGTTATTATCATTGCTATCTGTACTATTATTGTTATTTTTACTAACTAAATCTTAATCTTTGCATTTTTGCCTTTACTTGAAAAGAAACCTGATCAAACCGCATATATTTAAGTTTTTAACAGTCATAAATGCGTTATTTCACACAAATTGTATTTTTATCTTAAGGACATGAAACATATATATTTTAGAAAATCGAAAAAACAATTCATGTATATACTATAAAGTAATACTTCGATGTTGTACATCTTTAAAATGTTTGTATTTTCATAAAAAAAACAAGTAATAATTTTTATTTCTTTAGATGATAAAATAATAAAACATTTAGAAATTTGATATTTTTGGATTTAAGCTAGTCTTCAAAAATACCTAATATAAATGATTTAAATGTTTACTAAATTCAAAATTATTCACCAACCAAACAGTTAGAAAAAACAAACTTTGTTGTGGTTTCTTGAATAATTTTTTTGACATGCAGCTTAATTTTTTTTCAAGTTTACATTTTATCTGTGTACTTTTGTTGTTGCTATTTTCGTTAGAAAAATATAATATGGTACAAAGCAGCGATCAAACTGTTAATTTTTGAGTTATTTTCATAATTTAATCCTCAAAGTCTGCCTATTTTTTTATAATTTCTACCATAAAGAGCCCTTTTTCCAATTTTTCTAAATAGAAAACAGTCAAGAAAATGATTGTTTATATTGTTTTATTATTATTATTTATTTAGCTTTCGTTAAAGACAAAGAAAAAAAGGCACGGTCAGGTCAAGTCATCTTTGGCGTTGGAATTTTCAAAATAAAATAAAAATACAATAAATATTTTTATTTTCAATTAAAAGAACCTATTTATTTCAGATGAAATCTGAAGGTTTTTTTACTTTTTATTTGTCAAAAACATTTTAGAAAATCAAAAAGACAATTCCTGAAGATATTATGGAGTTGTATCTTAGAGTTCGATGTCTTTAAATTATGTAGGTTGTTTTATTTGGGTATTTTTTTAATTTTCAGAATTGCTGCAAGTTTTTTAATTTTATTTTTTCATTCTTGTTATATTGGTGACAATTGGGACAATTTATCTAAATTAATCTATAGGTTATCATGTCAGGGATTTCTTCAGTCAAAAGAGTAATCTTTTGATTTCAAAATTTTATCCTCAATGTTTACATATTATTTGTGACTTTTCATTATTTTAAATTTTAATGTAAAATGGCCAAAAATTAATAACCAATCTCAATTTACCCATTTGTCAATTTTTGTTATTTATGTTGCTTGATTTTGAAAGATACTCGTATAAAGATAAAAAATTGGTTCAGACCAGGGATCGAATCCCAAATTTTTAAGTGTTGACAATTTATGTTCTCAAGTACAAAGCAGGGATCAAACTCTAAATTTTCGAGTTATTTTCATAATTTAATCCTCAAAGTCTGCCTATTTTTTATATTTTCTACCACAAAAATCCCTTTATCCAATTTTTCTACATAGAAAACAGTCAAGAAAATGATTGTTTATATTGTTGTATTAATAGTATTTATTTTGCTTTCGTTAAAGACAAAGAAAAAAAGAAGGCCCGGTCAGGTCAAGTTTGGCGTTCGAATTTTCAAAATAAAATAAATATATAATATTATTATTTTCAAATATTATTACATTATTTCAGATGAAATCTGAAGGAATTATTACTTTTTATTTGCCAAAGAACAAAAAATATTTCAGAAAATTAAAAAAATTATTCCTGCAGACATTGTATCTCAAAGTTCGATATCTTTAAATTATTAGCTTTCTTTAACAAATTGAAAATAATGTAGTAAACTGTTTTTTTTTTCTTTATAAAATTATTTTATGTTTTTGGATTGGAGATTGTAATTGTAGGTACTCCGTATCTCGTTTTATTTGGGTATTGTTTTGAATTTTTAATGTAAAATGGCTAAAAATTAATAACCAATCTCATTCTACCCATTTTTCACTTTTTGTTATTTATGTTGCTTTCGTTTGAAAGATATAAAGATAAAAAATTGGTTCAGACCAGGGATCGAACCCCAAATTTTTGAGTGCTGATAATTTATGTTTTCAAGAAATAAAATTAATATTTTTTTGTTCAGTTTTTTTTCTAGTTGTTCAATCTTTTTTAACAAATCATTAAAATTTTTCAAATTGGTGAAGAAAATAGATTTTTTGAAAGAAAAAATACTTTTGAGTCTTTGGATCCATGTTACTGTAAAGCGCATCTGAAGGCAAGTCGAGACTCGACGCATGGCAATACAAATGCTTATTGGCCGGAATCGGAGGGACTTTTCTTCTTTCTTCCCCATAGTGTTCCTCTTCAATATCCTCGCTGCTACTCTTATTAAACCCATCACTTCCTTCTTCAATTATACTATCCTGCTGGTTCTCCGTATGGTCCTGATTCGAGCCAGCGCTCGAACTACCCGCACTACACCCCGAATACTGGCACGAACAAGTCCTTTGCACTTTCTTCTTATTACACACACTTTCTTCCCCAACTGAATTATCCGCCGTCGACAACCCACTGTCACAACGATGATCAAGAAGATTCTCCACACTTTCTTCTTTGATTTCGTCAAGAGTGGCACTGTTTTTACGTTCAAGAGTGTCTTTACAAACGCACGTTTGGAGGGTTTGAATGTATTTTTTCTTCAATTTGTACGAAACGGAGTTTTCGGTATCGGATTCGCAACAGTTGCACAATTCACCAGCCGCGTGGTGGTTGCAATGGTAGATGAAAGCCAAAGAACTGACAGATCTGCGACGGATTTGAGTATTGTGGGACTTGACAGGTGTACTGGTGGCGGTTGGGGGGTCACGAGAGGACCCATCGGGGGGCTTAGCGTCCTTTCTCTTGAAAGCCTTCAAAAATTCAATTAAACAATTAGAAAAAAGAAGAGGAAAAACTTACTTTGCATTTCTGGAGAAGCTTCTCATTGGAGGACCTTTCAGCCATTTTGATAAACTCCTCCACGTCCTTTTGATCATTTTCCGAGTCTAAAAGTAGAAAACACCTATTGCATTCTTCTAGACGTTCCTTGATGTCCTCTAACCGTTCCCTAAAAGCCTTCATTTGTGTCAAGAGGTTGGTAGCAGAATCCTTCAAAGTCTGGTACTTGTCCCGGAAATGGCGATTGCCATTTGTTTCCTTCAGATTCTGCTCTTTAGGATCTTTGATGTTCTTGCATTCTTCGATCAAATCGGTGGATTTTTCAAATTGTCTCTGGAAGAGAAAAGCAAGATGGTTTTATCTTCGATCTATAAACGGTTTCTCTCCTTATTAATAATGATCGCATGCGTTTGATATTTTCTTCCGGTGATTTGAATCACTTCCTTGGGTGATTATGGAGATTTAAACCGAAGTCACGACATCGATTGCATGTTTACAAATTGGAACTGATGGAAAATTCGAGTCTTGTTAGGAAAAAGTTGATAGGAAAAGTTTGATTCAAGTTTGGAGGAAAAATAACAGCAAATTTGACTCAAAAAAACAAAACGTTAATTGCTTCACAAAAATGAGCCAGAAATTCGTTTCAATACAAGATGGACAAATCTAATTTCTGCAAAAAATTGAGCTATTAAATCTTAAACAATTGTTAAAATTGTAATAAACATTTTTCAAAGGTGTAAACATCGAAAATATCGTGAAATAACTAAGAGCATAATATATCACTATTAATTAAAAACAAATTCTTTTTTGTAAACATATAATTTTCAATTTCTGAAAGTATGGAACCAAACGTTTTTTGCTTAAACTATTTATTTAAAAAAAAATAATTGATGAATGATAAAGTACTATAAAAATGTGATGTTTTATCAAAAATAAAAAAATTCGTAATTTTCTTTTGTTCTTGAGTTTTACAAAAAAAATTTAATTTTTTAAATGGCAACCCACTATAAAACCATTTTTCTCATTATGGTTATCATCTAAGGATTACAACTATGTATCATCTACTTTATATTTATTTTTAAACAAAATTACTTTTTACATGAATTGCAATTTTGCAAAAATCGCCTAATACAAAAACAAAACAAAATTTCGTTCTCAAAATAAGATTACATTTTTTATATTATTTTAATTGTTATTTTCTGGAGACAAACAAAAAAATCGCTTGGTTCCATACTTTATTCACCCTGTATATTTTTTATTTATTCTTGTTTAACAAAAACAGGTACATTATATTAAAAAAAAGTTCTTTATAGAATATTATAATTTAATTTTTTGACCAACTTATTTAAAAAGAGCTCAGGATTAAATTTTAGTTGAGAAAACGATATAAATTCTAAGTTTTAAATTTATTTAGCAAATAAATAGATACCTATCTCAAAAATTACAAAAAAGCATCCATTTTAAAAAACGACTAAATAGAAAAAAGTGTATATCAAAAAAATGTAATAATTTGAAAACTTTACACTTTGTATTGTTAGAAACAGTTTTGTCAATTGTGTAACAAAAAAAATATTTTTAGACATACATATTTTCAATAACAATCAGTACTTTTCAATTTTTTAAAAACATTTTGTTTTTCATTTTTTTTTATCCCGCTGCGTTATCGCTTTCTCCCTATCACAAGCAAAACAACCATAACCGGCGTTAACAGGCCAGAACCGTAAAACCATCAAAGATTTTAATTATAATTTTTCAAAGCGAACAATAACTCAAAATAAATCAGCCTCCATGAAAAACTCCACTAATGGAGAATCGCTGTTGTCTTCTAATTAAAATAAATTAACTTTCTACCAGTTACGTGTTTGAATTTTTATGAAATGTTCACCACTTACCCAGGCTATAAAGTCCAATTTTTCGAAGTCGTCGGCCACTTCTTTGACGGCGAGGACGTCGGCGGCCGATTTCAACTTTGTGGTGAGACTGTTGATGTTGTCTTCGCCAGCTTTGCGGAACCACGACACGAGCTGAAAAATGCCCCATTCATTATAAAGTTCCCATCGAACTCGTTATTGTAGAGCAGAAAAGTTTTACTTTTTTATTAACGCTGACAATAAGTCACCAATCGACCAATTCGAACCCAATTCCCTACATTCTTAATGAGAGGAAAGTCGATGGACTAATAAGGAGTAATTCGAGACACGGAGCTTTATGTTTATAAAATGCTGTGATTAGTTCAGAGTTAATGAACACACAGTTGCAAAAAGGAAATGATTCTGAAAGGATTTGTTGAAAAGTTTTCAATTAGCTTCACTAAACTAATGATATCAAATGGAGGAGTTTAAACATTCGAAGACTTGCAATTAGGCATGAAAGCAGCGACTTTGCTCACAGCTTGGAAAGTTTTCATTTTTTAAATATGAAATAATTGTTTAATAAAATGTAATTTTTAAAGAAATAAGATAACAGCTCTTACAAACATAATTTTTAAGCTTTCGGATATTTATCGAACAAAATCTTATTTAAAAAAACACTAAAAAATTATTAGACACAAAAATAACCTTTGTTTTTAATTTTTTAGAAAATAATAGTACAAATTGTAAATAATTTAATAATAATATATCAAAAAATGTTGTTACGCGAACAAACTGCATCGTTAACATTTAGTAGGCTCGTAACCTTGGTAACATAAAATAAATTAATTCCCGACCAAGGGTTGTAATGAAATATTTCCCGACGTTCAAAAGGGTAGGAATCGGCATATTGTTATTGTAAATAAATACTCCTTATTTACATGTTATAGAAAGTTCTCTATACAATAGAACCGATTAAAATGTTATAATTATAAATGATTAGTGCAGTTTGTTTTATTTCTCATGTTATAATTGTAAAAAGTGTGATAATGTCGTGTTAAATTGTAGTGATTTCTACAGTGAGCACTTGTACTTATTATCGATTCATTCTGCAAGCTTGCAATTACTAATATTTTCATTTGAAACACAATAAACATGATAAACGTCGATCATTGCAAATAAAATGAATCCAATTAGTCACCCGGAACCTGCAATCTCATTACCAACATTATTCACTCAAGTGATTTTACAAATGTCAGTTAAGATAATTAATTTCATCCACACCAATTATCAACGACAACCACCTTTAAGTTTAATTATTGCAATTATCCGTCTATCATTAAACACCATATCACTTTTAATAATCTCGTCGCTTTTCTACAACTCACGTCTTGCTTATTGCTGCTTACTTTTTCATCTAATAATGTTGTTGGTTGTTGTTGTTGAATTGAATGAGATTTCGCTTGTATGGAAAATAATCACAACGTCGACCAAAACTGAAAAAATTGCAAGCAACAGACGTGCAGGTCAAAACGTGGCCATTACGAACCGACGTGTAATTACGCCAAAATGAAAACTCAATTCCGATGATGTTCGCGACTGATTGGCGTGAAAATGACGCATTCAATTTAATTATGTCTTCAGAGATGGAGCTGTCAAGCGGGAGGTTTCATACAATATTTTTTTTGCTCTGAGATTTCAAAAATTCACAAATTAAACAATATACAACTTTTGGTTTGTTCAAATTCTTAGTTTTGGTTAATTTAGATTTTTCTAGGCTTCGCTTTGGAGTTCTCCAGGTTTAGTTTTAGTTCAGGTTGTTAGGTTTTCCTGTCAGTTATGAGAATCCATATTTCATGAAGACTTTTAAGTTTTTCTTAAATTACAACTTTTTTTAAATTTGACTTTTGCCCTTTTTTTGAGAATTTTCAACTCACGTGGTCTTGAATGTTAAAAATCTAATTAAGTCAGGTGTGCAAAGTTTTCAAGTTTTGAATTTATTGTTTATTGAAATTTTTAGGTTTCCGATTATTTCATTCAATGTTTATTTTTTATTTTTGTAGTTTTAAATAAGCAGTAGCTAGATTTTACAATAAATAGGCGTCTTATTTTTTATTTTTGACTATCGGTTTATTCAAATTTATTAGGAATTATTGATTTTTCAAAATCTGTTCCATTCGAGTGTGTAGCTTTTACAGTTAGTTTTATTATTTTTTATTTACTGAGATTTTTAACTTTTCAATTTAGAGTTTATTCAATTTATCAATTTTTAGACAATTTTTTTAGTGGTGGACAGAAAACTAATTAAGATACCTATAAGTTTTGATTTTAATTTCGTTCTATATAATTGATTTTTTATTTTTTAGATGACGTTGTTAGTTAATTTTCCATTGATCAAAAAATTATACACATATGATTTAAAATATTTATTTTTTAGTTTTTAGATAATTTTGATAATTCTCAGCTGGAACAAGATGAAATGTTCAATTTTTCCAACTGTTCTGTTGCAAAATATCTGACAGAAATTTTTGAAATTATCTGGCTTTACGATGTCATAAACGAGAATTTAAATTTTCAGCTTTTCGAATTCTGATTAATTTAGGTCTTCTTGAGTTTTTGCTTCCGACTTTCGGGTGTTTAGGTATGTAAATTTACATTTTCTTAAGATTTTTGAATGATATTCATTAGTTTGACTTTGTTTCAATTTTTTTTAGGCTTCTCATAACATACTTCTTTTTTTAAATTCACACTAACAAATTTTTTTGAGAATATCTGTCTTTACAATGAGATAAAATAAAATATGATGGTTTATTTCCATTTTCTCAATGCGTCTAAATTTTTACCAGAAGAAAATTAAAATAAAATAAACTATTAAAACGTCATATTTTAAACACACTTTGGATTTTACTTGTAATAACCTTCTCATTCCTGATTAATTTAGGTTTTCTAAGGGTTTTTTCTCAGAGTTTCAAGTCTTTAGGTTTTAAAATTTACATTTCTTTAAAATTTTTGAATAACTTTCATTAGTTTCACTTCGTTTCATTTTTTTTTTTAGGTTTTCAGATTCGAGGTTTTTGAGGTTTTTCATAACATGTTTTTATTTTAATTTTAATAGTTTATAGTCTAGTGTCTATTTTTTTTAGTTTCCTAACTAGTGTCTACAGCTTTTTAGTTTTAGAAAACTCAGATTTTTAAACTGTAATTAATTTAACCATAAGTAAAAACTATTTCAGTAATTCTGGATAATATCTAAATATAATAAAAAAATGTTTAATTTGTCAGGCGAAAATTATTAATTTTTTGGATTTTTGTATCACAATGATTTCCTATATTTTTTTAAGCTTTAAAAAGTTCATTTTCTTCTCAAGATTTATTGCAACAGTCTTTGCGTCATGCTTCTCATTTTTTTCTTTAATTAATGAAAAAATTGCATCAATTTGTGCATAGTTTTGTTCGTTGAGACGTAAGCCTTTTCACATTGTTAACAGGTTTTGTCGTAATAAAGAACATTGCACTCTTACAGATACGCAATTATGTCTCTTTAATTATTATTATTATTGCGATCATTCTTAGCAAATTATCAGTAGTAAGCAACAAGTTTGCCTTCTACTTGATTAGCCACATTTAAAACAAACTTTCTTATTATAAAATAATATCAATACTCGCACGACATGTCACTTTTTTATTTATTAATTTTTTATTGGTGTAATTGCTTCCAACTCGAATCCGAGTGTCACATTTCTCACAAAACCTCCAAGTTATCGCCGATTTGAGGGTGACAGCGCCCATATCTGTATAAAAAACTTCTTTTCTTTGCGTCGGAGTGATGGTCTACGGCCACCCACTTCGCGCCGTGTCCCGATAGTAGTTTCACTTACAAAATGACCAACAGGAATATTGATGAAGTTCTGATGATGATGGTCGGGTAGACAGACAGACATGCCGAGACTTGCTTTTTAATGAATGGCGTGGGCGATTCTGATGCCGGGGCTTACCGGTAAACTATGCAAATGCCGATGGTGCTGAAGATTGGCATTTTTCAGAGACACCCAGACGAGTGATTAGCTGGATTTGGGAGTGACAAATGGATTTTTTGAGGGCCTAACGGGATCATGGGTGGCACCAAGTGCTTTTACTGGTTGTCGGAAATGTTGGGTGTTTGAGGACAATTAAGTTAATGAGGACCTAAATTTAAAAAATGTCTGGTCAAAGACTCCCCATTTTTACTTTACATTGCTTATAAAACACTAAACAAAGTTAGCTATTGACTTTTTTCATTCATTATTGATTCAAACTATTTAATTAACTGTTATTAAACAAAAGAATCAGTAAAAGTGTCAAAGAAAATTAATTAAAGATAATATTACAATAACAAACTGTCTAGCTACAATAGGCAATGAATACATAAAGTAAAGTTGGTACGCTGCACAAATATCTTATCTGATAAAACTGTAGTAATCAGTATACAAACTATTTTTGCTTAAACACAATGTTTATTTCTGTGAAAACCCGAAGAATTATTTGGATATCTTCAAATTTGTTTACTTTTATCGAATTAGAGAAAATCTGCATTCATCACCGAGCTCGTAGAAAAATACGGATGTCAAGTCTTGCCCATTTACAGACAAACACGCAGTTGCTCCCATTCAACTAATTTGTAGAAATTTTTTCCGGTAATTGGTTACATTACCTCGTTTTCTATATGTCACAATGCAAAACTTACCTCGTCTGCTTCCTCTCTCAGCGAAGTAAACTTGGCCAACTCCCTCAACCTTTCAACCCTTTCCTGTCTCAACTGTTCCAACCGTTTGCTCACCCGTTCGACTGAATTGAACGAAGCCTCCGAAAAACTCACATTGCGTTTCACGTCTTTGCTTCCACTCAGCCATTGGGCGCGTTCTTTGACACTGGAGATGGTTTTAGGGCCATCTTTGCGAAGCTTGACCACTTGCTCCAAATCCAAAGCTTTGGAAATTTGCCTAGAAGAGAGAAAATCGCTTTTTTGCACAAACTCGTTCTCAGCCATGATGATAATTACAACTAAATTAGAAATTAGAGACGAGAACTGATAAGATAAGCGTAGAATTTTCATTACCTGCATTGATGGTTGAGGAATCTCCGAGTGACTTGATGAGGGAGATCCTCGTTACGCAATTGCGACAAGACGGAGAGGAGACTCCGTCCTGCCGCTTTACAAGAGGCCAAAAATGGTTCCACTTGCTTGAAAAATTCGACCCATTCGAGTTGGTCATGGCTGCAGGAACCGCCACAACTCGCAGGAGTCTCGTCTTTTGTGAGGTACTTGGAGAGGGTTTGCTCGTCGCAGATGACGATGGCCTGAAACGAGGAAATAATATTTGTGTTTCCCACGCATAAAATCAGTAATTGGAATAGTGAAGTAGTTAGTGATGATGCACGAGCCAATTAATGCAGTGGGACTGTGGTACTAATAATAATTAATGGGTGTGCAATTATGGTGAGTCGAGAGATGAGTGAGGAAAAATTTTACGGCTTGTTGAAGTTAAAGAAACAAGTTTGATGTGTTATTAATGCAAAATCTGAAAATTACTGAAAAAAGAATTAAAAATAATTATCTTCTTGTTCAAGTATTTGCTAACATATGTCTCTATTGCTGTGAAGATTTTCTCACAGTGATAACATATCCAACGAATTGACAATTTCCTTACTTCGAAAAACACTAACACTGCTTACTGACAAGCAGAACAACTTGCATTCAAATGACTTTCACAGTGGTACGAACTTTCAAAAACAGTTTAATTAAAACAAAAATTATATTGATATTATGCTAAAAAAAATTCGATTTAAAAACATTTTTCCAGTAAAACATCGTATTCATTAAACTTTAACTTTCGAGTTGCTTTTTGAATTTTTTTTTAGATTTTTTCTTGTCTCTCCCATAAAAGGAAAACATCCTTGACTGAAACTTTTTCAATATATCGCATTCTATAGATTAAGTTGAAATGCTACCAGTGTTGTATCACTTTTCCATTTATCGTTACATACATTGTCTTTCCTATTACTGCTAATGCGTTTTTTACAAAGAAAATTGTGTTGTGTTTGTTGTGTACTGTAATAAACAATATTTTAAATTAATTTGAAATCAGATCAGTCAATTAATACTTCTATTTATTTTACTGAAAAAATTAAATTTGGCCTTCAAAAAGCAAATTTAATAATTTAAAATTTTATGTTAAAGAATAAGTCAGAGAAACAAAATTTTTCTTTAAAATTTGTATTGATGTCATTTAAAAAGTGTAATTTGCATTTAATTTAATTTTTTTTATTTTCAACTATTCTGTTCAACTGATTCCAATAAACATAAAATTGGAATAATAGGTAGCACTATTATTGTTCTAATGACACAGTTATTGTTATCATTTTCATTGTTTCGTTGATTACTGTATATCAATTAATCATCACATTGTTATGATAAAAATTTTGTATCAACTCCCAATAAAGATTTATTTATGATGTGTGATTTAATTTCATAAACAAAGTGGAGTTTTATCATATTAACAAAAAGAGAATTATTATTAGCTTTTCCTCAGTTTTTCAGTACATAAAAAACGCCATCTTTTTTTGAAAAATTTGATTAAAATCAATTTTTATTTACATATACAATCAACAAATTTTTTGATAATTACTTAAATGGTATTTTTATTTTATCAGCAAAATACATATTATATAGATTACAGACGTTTACATGTTTCTAATAAATGATTAAATAATTCCGACTATTCAATTCACCTTTCTTTTTTTCAAATATTAACTAATAAAATAACAAATATTTACTATCGCATCTTAGCAACAACAAATTCAAGCAAATATTCCACTCCTGATAAAATTTAACAGGATATTCAACGTTGCTATGACAACGAAATTATGTGTAACGCAAATTTGCCATTTGGTTTATTGAATAGTCAGTTATACGAGTATATCACGAGTAGTAAAAATTGTTGAATACAGGGTGTTTCACGTAATTTTACGAGGCCTGCGCCTGTAACATGCAATCAATAATACATATTCCGATACGAACTCGTTTACAAATTTTGAAAAATTGAATAATCTTCTCTAGTTTGTTCACCCTTTAAAAAATTACGTTTTTAGTTAGTTAGTGATTAAGATAGATAAACTGTCTCTTGACAGAACAAATGATAATTGTTTCTGAAAAACTGCAGTTTATGACTATTAATGAAACAGTGATTAGTTTGACTTGACAACTATTGTCATGGGTTTCAAAAAATTAAATAGTTAGAAATGTATTTTTTGTATCCAGTGTTTTGTGACTTTTGTATATTAGGGTGCGTACATTAGGCGCAAGTCTCGTAAAGTTGTATGAAACACCCTGTATTTTTATGAATGGTCATTCGCTTATAAACACCATAACAATGGTTAAAAAAAGAGAGGTGAATTGAATAGTCTCGTGAATACCATTCGTAGTCGAAATTGTAGAATATTTATATTCATGGTTATTACGCTTGCTTGGTGCTGCGCACTCATGGTGTTCATAAGCGTAGAATATTTATATTCATGGTCATTACGCTTGCTAGGTGCTGCGCACTCATGGTGTTCATAAGCGAATGACCATTCATAAAAATATTCGAGAATTTTTGACTACTCGTGGTATTATAACTGAGAATTTCATATTGCAAATAAAAAATTTAGTGTCTTCCTGCATTAAAAGTTCAAAATAAAATAAAACAAACAAAACCAAAAGTGAAGCCAAAGTCGGTTGCAATTTTTGCAATTTTTAACTGTTTAAATAGTACCAAATAAGTAATTTAAATTGTCAAAAAACTTGACAAAACCAAAATTAGTCAAAATTTATCAATAAACATAAGTATTGGTGAAGATGCGAAAATGTTTCTTCATATTTTCAACAAATAGTTCTGGTAAAAAACATTTCGGTGTGGTCAAGAATGAAAAGAATAAAAATAATTTAAAATCTGGTAGACTTTTTGAGGCATAAAATAAAAAAATCTTTAAAATAACATTTTACTGTACAAAGATTCAAGCTGATAAAGTTGGATAAAAAAAAAATCATCGAGAATTGTGGTTTCAAAAAAATTAAACAAACAAAAAAATTACAAAATAATTTTGTTTATATATATATATATATATATATATGTTAATTATAAATACCAGGTGAATAAAAAGTATGGAATCGAACGTTTTTTGCTTAAACTATTTATTTTTTAGAAAAACTAATTGATGTGTGATAAAGTACTATAAAAATGTGATAAAGACGCGAGTTCTACAAAATTTATTTTTTTTTTAAATGGCCACCCACTATAAAACCATTTTTTCACGAATGTTATAATCTAAAGATTACAACTCTCCATTTTATATTTAATTTTAAAAAAAAAATCGGATAACTCAAAAACAAAACAAAATTTCGTTCTCAAAATACGTTCACACTTTTTGTTTACCTTAATTTATATAAATTATTATTCTCTAGAGGCAAATGATTAAAAAAACTGCTTGGTTTTATACTTTATATTCACCCTGTATAACATATACATTAAAAACAGTTATTTAGAACCAAAAAGTTAACTTGTGCCTCAATCATGTCTTAAGTACCCCAAAAACCACCACATTATCTGATGATGCGACTACTCTTCGTCACTTAATGCTATTCAAGACCTAATGGTGATGACCGACAAAGAATAACGGTGCCAGATATCGCAGTAAACATGAGGCGTGGTCCATGAAAATCGAAACAAAAATAAAAACTTACCGGGATTCGACTAGTTACTTGACTCTTCTCCTGTTGGCTTCCTGGTTTCCACACCAGAAACCTATCAATTTTCATCGTATTGGCCACCAAAGCGGCCGATTTATCCAGTAGTTCCAGAACCTTGTTACTGTTTTCATTCTCTGCCAAAAGCAGAATTGTGAATCCGTTTTTGGAGCATTCCAGTCTGGAAAAAAGCCAAACAAGATGTCAGAATGCGTGATTAGATTGATTTATGATCGGTGGCGTGAACCTGGAGGGTTATTGCGATAATTAATCAAAAGAGAAATGAAATCAGCTACTTGAAACACTCGTATCCCTGTCAGAAATGATAATAAAACGGTGTCAAATAAATAATTAATATCAAAGAATGAGAAGAAAACGACACTTTATAACTGTTACTTTCAATAAACCAACTAATTGCCCACGCAAAGTCAAATTTCTGGCCATTTTTCAAAAAGACAGTACGGCCCCAAGCATTGTGCTTTTACTACCGGAGTTTTGTTACGGTTTAAGAAAGCTAAATTGATTAATTATGTTAGCACTTGGACTGAAAAAATTCAATTTCCTTTACACTATCGAAAACGGATATAAATTAACAACAATGTAATTATTTTTAACTCTCAAGAAAGTGCGAAGTCTGCCGCCTATGCAGCACTTTTACAAATCAATCAAAAAATCAGAAATTAACTAGTAAAATATATTTTTTTATTTTGCTGTAAAATTATTTTGGAATTTTCTTGGAATATTAAAGAAGACTCGATAATTATAAATTACATTGAATTACTTAATATTATCAAATTTACTTTAGAATTAGGGAAATTCCGGGTCACTCTGTGACCCCTTTCGCTTGCAATTTTTACACAATCATCAACTAACGGCTTAAAATTCATCGATGAGCAGTCCGAGATATGGAACGAAAGATAAGGCGTTGAACACGGTTACATGTTCGCGTTTACAACTGTGTAATTGCGATTTTGTTATTCTTATCAGCTGCGTGTAAAGAAGTCGGAGACGACTTAACACAGACTAATCTGGTAATTATGCCGATCCTTTGGTTGTGTTGCCGAGTTGGCGCTGCTGTTATATTTATTGACGATTGCTGAGGATTCTTGTAATTGGTGTTTAACTAGCCGTTAACGAGCCAATGCAAAAGGAATCCGACGATGACTTTTTGCACTTTATGAATGTCAATGAGGTTAGGTGATGACTTCTCTTTATTACTATTGCTTGAACTTGAAAATTTTTACGGCGTTTGTGTGTAAATACAAGTATAACTACAAAAATTTTAACTCCCATATTTAAAAATAAAGCATCAAATATTTTAATAGTTATTTATTCGACGAGTTTGAGTGTAAATGGGGCGTTTTATTTCACGAATGGATTTTTAAACCACAAGTGTTTATCATTCACGAGGTGGAATAAATGAACCGATTTACACGAAGACGAGTTGAATACAAAATTTTATTGTTCGAATTAGACTCAACAAGACTTAAAATTGCTTTAAATCTGTTAAAAATAATCTGATGTTTCGTATTGAGAAATGCCCAACAGTTGTCAAATTTCCTTACATAGGAGAAAAACCGTAAATTTTGATAGTGTCGAAGAATGAAAAATATGAAAATTGATTTTCAAAAAAAAAACCTATACTTAATGTGAAAACCTTCCTAAGTCAAAAATTTTGTATAATTAAAAAATTAAGTAAGAGATAATTTAGGTATTCAGCTTTTTTGAACTACATAATACTAAATAAATATTTGATTACAAAAATAGACTGTTATGTATGTAGATATTTAGTAAAAAATATTGGATTACTCTCTTTCATTATGTCACATTTTATTGAATCTAATTTACGATTTTTTAAGGCATTTTAAAGACGATTATTTGAAAAAGTAATTCAAAAATATCTAAATTACATAAGTTATACCTACTTTATAAATAATATAAAAAGCAAGCATCAACATATTAAAAAAGTGTAGAAATAACTAACAATATTCAAAAGACAAAAAGATATTCTTGAAAGCTGCTTTGATTTCAAAATTCAAAGATTCTGGCAAAAATAAAGATAAAAGTTTAATCAGCTAAAATAATATTCTTTCTTCTGAATCAGCAGAAATGCGTCAATTGTGTTGTTAAAATTTTGACCTAAACTTAGAAAGAATTATACCTGTAGCTGTAGATCCTTCTGTAGATCTATCAACAGAACTGTATCTGTAGATCTATGTGTAAATTTATCTACAGACATGTAGATCTATCTACTGACCTATAACTAAATATTCAGCTGTAGATATATACAGACCTGTAGCTGTAGATCTATCTATATACACTTGTAACTGTAGATACATGTGCAATTCTGTCTACAGACCTGTAGATGCGCTTATATTCTCTTATTATACTTATTACTTGTAGAATTAGAGAAAAATTGCAGTCTTTACTGGAGTTCGATGTCTGGACCTACCTACCGGAAGCAAGACCTATGTCACTCCGCCCTACGCCCCCGGCTAGTGTCTCTGCTCTAATTCATACACAAAAATTTTCAAAAATTTATTTTTTACACTTAAATTTGATACGAGTTCTTCAACTTACGTGGGAATGGACGAGTAGTACAACAATAACTTGGCAATCTCGTACTTGTTGAGTCCGGCCCTCAGCACACACTCGGCATAACATAGGACAATAGGTCTTCCGTCGTTATCTGCCGTTCCTGCAACGAAAAAGGAGAAAAAGCATCAGTAAACACACACGCCGTACATTCCCTCCATGCATTAATCAGTCATGAAAAAACACCGTTTTAGTCGTTTTTCCCGTTTTCTAGCCTGTTTCTAACAAGACAAAGCCGCGACCACACTGATAAAGACTTCAATAAACTCGCACCACGACACGAATTTAAATATTATGCTAATATGACAACTGTTTGCCCAGTGTGAATCTAATTGAGTGTGTAATAAGCTAGTAACGACTTCATCAAATTGCAGCTAACTTTCCAAAAACGTAATTTTTAATTAAATTTGAAAAAGTTTAATAAAGTGCAGTTACTCGACCGTTTCTCCACGCCAAATAAGGCTCCAACACATGTTGACATAAACATTATTGTTATTGCTCGAGTAATTCAATATTTTGTAAAAAACCTCAGCTGTAAACTTTAAGCCGGTTATAAATCACAGCGCCCCCTACTTTTACTCACTGAAAAAACTTAAAGACACTCAATTAACCGATAAGAGGTGCAGCAAGTGCCAGTTACGTGCCATCCAAGTAATAAATTAATCAAAGTTGACACAAGTCCTGTTCAAACGGTACTACAGGTGGAAATGCCTTAGATTCTCGCCAATATGTAACTGGGTGAATTTTTTTCATCAAAGGGCTTGACAGTTGAATAGAGACAATGGTCATTCGCGTCCCCTTTAACCCTAAGCGATGACAGAAACCTACATTCTTTGGCCGAGAAAAGCTTTACAACCGGAGGTTAAGATTCATGGCCAATGGCTATTGTTTTTCCTTTGTTGTTAATTCGTTTCTGCCTCGTATAGTGGGTAATGTATTGCTTCCACAATCGTTTGTTTTGATTACATGTCAAAGGCTCGGTTGCATACTGTGCGATTTAAATATCTCGACCGCGAAATGCTATTATATAGTTTTATGGGATTTGCAGATGACGAGCTTTGTGCTCATTGCTGATTAGGAGGAAAATCGTTTCCGACATGTGGAAAGCTAAATTCCTATCACAAATACAAAAATAGCTGAAAAAGTTACAAAATGATATAAAAAAAATCAAAGAATCTAATATTTTAGGACAATATTTTGCGCTTTTCTGTTTATATAAAATAAAATCAAAAGTAGTCCACAAGAAAAGGAAATAAGATATATTGAGTTAATTTTACAATTTTCTGAATCAATTCAATAAAACTTTTTGTAAAATCCACTAATTTTTTTTTATAAAATATTGGTAATACAAAAATTAGATAAATATTAAACGGAACAGGCAATATTAGAACATTTTCAATTTTCTGCTCGATTCAAATAAGAATTCCTAAAATAATAAACAATATTCACCAAAAAAATAAAAAAATAAATCAAACCGACCGAAACAAGCCAAATTTTTTTTTAGTTCTAATAAAAAACATATTTGTTGGCTGTTATTTTCCAAACATATAGCAGTTTCTACATTATTTTGTAACTCAGTATTGTGTGAAAAGTAAAGATTCTGAAACTATGTATTTTATTAAAAAAAATTCCAGTTTTTAAATATCCATCATTATTTGAATTTATAAATACTTGAAAAAGTATCATGCAAACAATAAAACAAATACAACACTATCTAAATCAATGTGCATTTTTAAATATTTAAGGTTGCATTATTTGATATGACGAATATTTATTTTTATTACCATTGCGTTTCGATACTTTTTATCAATACAAAATAGTCATAACAATTTAAAACAATAGTCAAAATAATCCGCAATAATAATAATCAATATCGCTTGATAAACACTCTTAATAAATTTTGCTTCTTATTGGAAATTCTCTTTCCGGAAATTTTGCTTCTACCCTTTTTTGGGTCAAGGTACACGTATATAAAGAAGTTTCTGTATTATTTAGTTTAGTGTAATAAAATTACTGTAGAAATTTTTTTTTTTTTTTGAAATAATGTCTAAATCTGATTGAAAATTGTTGAAATGGAGCAGCGCACTCCCTCAAAAGTAAGAAAAAATGCTACCTACAGAAGCAACTATTATGCGTAACTTGTTAATTTAAAAGGAAAAATTCCCGGTATTTTTGTAATCTTAACGTTGGCAAAACTGCATATTACCGCCCAAGGAATAAAATGTTCACGGGATTTAATGATGTGTTTCTCAACCTTTAAAAGGTTAGTAATCGGCATATTACATTAGTGATTGTGAATAAACAATCTTATCGAAACGAATGCAAAAAATCGCATTTATCTTGATTGCAATAATGATAATTTTATATTGATAAAAACGTTTGTCAACTGTGTTTTCCCCAAATCAATTTCGCTGATAAGCCATCAACACCGATCTAATCACATCTTCCGACTTTTCCCCACGAAAATAGGTAGGTTACGAGCACATCCCGAACACAATAGCTTCATTAGTCGATCAGCAATTACCACAAGATTAATTTCATAAAATCTCAGGTAATGGTGGGCGATAGGGAGCACCGGGAGTCAGCGATTGATCTATGGTAATCAGTCCCTAAAGGTCAGGCTTTATATATACAGGCCGTGAGAAAAGTCAAACCGCCCGTGCACATACACACACCAAGAGATTGTCGCATGTCAAGACGCTGCCGGCAATAAGTGGCCATTTTTTCAGCAACGAGATTATAGATTTTCAAGATTCTTGTGATTTATTACCTGAAGCAACGGCGTAATGGCTCCGTTTTCACTTCTAAACGACTTGAGTATTGTTATACGAGGTGATGGGACGGTAATTGAGACCAGGAACAATACTACAAGTGGTATTTTTGCTATTTTGTGGGAACAAAATAGATGTTTTGATGAAATAAGAGAAAACGGGGACAAAGCAAATAAAGAGTATAATCAAATGAGATTTGTTGACAGGGTGAATCATATAGGAAGATGTACTAGTACTGACCGGATCTGAAGCTAGTCGATTTTTCTGTTTTCACCGGTTTTTCAAAAACGAAAACTTGAAGGAAGTTTTAAACGCATTTAGAAGTTGCAATCTCTAATTTTATTCTTCAAATTTTACAATATAAGTATTCATATTTAAAGAACATATTATTGTAATTGTAATTCGGGTCAAATATCGCAGCCTCAACATTTTTTAAAATATTAAAACAAAAGGTGTATAGTTAATCTCTTAAACATTCTTTTTAAAATAAAGCGAATTGACCAACAGATCTTTTAAAATATCTGGACTTTGATTTGAAATTCACTCTTGTACCTTGGGAGTTTTCTAATATAATAAATGAAAATTTCTCGTACAGCCTATTTCTTGATTTTTTTCATTAGAAAAATACGAATATTAAACCATACAAACAAAAATAGAACCTTAGAGATTTTCAACTCAATTCAAATGAAAACTTCCCAAAATAAGCAAGGTTTTCTCTAAAAAATAACCCATATCAACCGAAACAAGCCCATTTTCTAATTTCTTGTATTACATTATAGGTTTCATAAAATTATGTTTTTGAGTTTGTACGCCCTTATTTTTTAACTTATTGTTAATGTCCAATTTTTGCAAAAAATCAGGAAATCTGATTCGATAGGTTTGGATTTGTTAAAAAAAAGTATTGTATTGTATTTTACTTTTTTCCAATCCATATTTCGATTACTTTAAGAAATTTTGTTGACGTGATGCAGAAATTCGACCTTGGCTTCGGATTTTTTCGTTTAATTTGAATTACTTACAAAAGTGCCAATTATTTTAGGAGTTTTAGGGGCGGCTTTTACAGTCGTGGAATAAATCCCGGTTAGATTATTTGTGGTATATTTGCTATACCTACAATATTTGTAACAATACAATTGTCAAAATTTGTCTTGGAAATAAATTTACTAGTCGATTGTAAAAGCCGCCCTTAGTAGATTTAACACAAAAAAAAACAAATAATTTTAGATTTCAAGATAAACTAAAGAAAGTTAAAAATCAAAAAAACTGCAAAAATGTGCTTTATTGGAAATCAAAACTAAAAATACGTATTGAAAAATGTTATTTTGTAAAGAAAGACTTTTAATGATTTTTTTTAAGATAATGCAAGGAAACACAAAATCAGGATTATTTCTGCTTGTTTCAACCAGTTTTATTTTATTTTTTATCAACAATTTTGTTTAACTTTGTTAATTTTATGCAAAAAATCGCAAAATCTGTCTCAAAATGTATTATTACAACGTGTTTTGTCCAATTTGGTTTTTGTTTTCTCTTGGAAAGCAATATTATTACAGTTCTTCTTGCTTATTTTTTGTAAAAGTACTTCTTTATTAATTATAGTCTCGTAATTCTGTAATTTCTTTCTTTATTTCTTCTGCTGAAGATTTTTTAAATTACTTATTCTGTTGGATAGCAAAACTAACAGGACCAGTTTTACTTTATACTTAATTTCTGCTTCTACTTTGGGAAAAAACTTTTGATTTGCTATTTTTTTCCTTTTCATTTTGCAGATAAACAAGATTAAACAATAGTATTCATAGCACACAATGTTTTTCTTTACGTATTTTATGTATATTTCTTTGCAGAACTTACCTAATTATAATGCAAACAGTAAAGAATGTTTATATATTTCTTCCATTTAGGTAAAAAATTTAAATTATTATTTTATAAATCAATATGCAAATAAAAAAGCGTCCAAAAACAGAGTTGAAAAGAAAAGATAAACCATAAGTTACCCTTAGACACATTTTTACTCTTGCTTCATGCTATTTGTAATGTCAAATCACGTAAATAATCTCCGGATTACCACCTCGGTACTTAATTGCTTGAATCATAAATCTCCAAGTATTGAGACTTATACCAAAACAGACTTGTTCACTGTTACTCAATCTGTCGCAATATTTCCTTCGGTTTCGGCGTGGGCTTCCCAAAGCACCTCTGGAGCAATCTCTTTATCTTTTTTTCCTTCATTATCTGAGACAAAAGCGTCCGAATCATGATGAAAGAGCAATAAGATGTAGGCCACACAGTTATTTCCAGCCGTGAAAAATCATCGATCGCGCCAATGATCAAAGCA